ACCCGCCGCCGGCCGTTTGCAGCTCCCTCGCCGGCCGACGCGCCCGCGGACGCACACGCACGGCACGCACGACGTGGGGCGGAGCGGGGCGCGCGGGAGCAGGACGAGCAGCGCGCACGGCAGCAGTGTGCCGGCGACGGTGGCCGCGGAGGGGCAAACTAGAAACGGGTGTCTTTTGAGCTGCGCGCCGTGCAGGGGGCGGGGCCAGGTCTGGGAGCGGTGGAGGCCGAAGAGCCGGACCTGAGCGTAACGAGGTCGAGCTTTTCTTCTCCAAACCTGCAAAAGCCCTCATTTCCCTCATAATTTCTCCTACCTCAAGTCCCACTCTCTCCCTTCACTGTCCTCATTGATCCTGGGACGCGACTAGCGCGCTGTTATCTCCCGGCCTTTGCACTGGCTGTGCCCCTCTCTGTCCGGTGCCCTGTTCCCTGAGACACCCGCATGGCGTTCCTCACGTCATTCAAATGTCTCACCTACTGAGATGCCCTCCTCAGTAGCACCTATTTTCACATGATGAAATGTAGGGTCAGCTCCACAGCAGATGAGATGTTTGTATTTTGTTCTCGGCTGAACTCATAACAGTGTCTCCTCCCAGGCAGTCCATAAACACTCGGTGAATGAATACAGACAGGAGGCCCATCCTGGATCAATGGAAATTCCAGTCCAATCATGCATTTATTTCTTTATCCACTCAACAAACATTCATTGAGCAACTGCTGCATGCCAGACCCTGTGCTAGGTGCAAGGACACAGCAGGAGAAACGACAGTGAAAATGGTGGTCTGAAATACTCCATGGCTGCAGCAAACAGAGATGGATGCAGACGCGCGCCCCCCCCCGCCCGCCCCCACCCTTGATGTTCAGCGAAAGGGTGGGACTCTAGGGTGGTCCTGGTTTTGCCTGGGGAGACAGACAGGACTTCGTAGGGGAAGGGGCATTGGATGCCAGGTTTTGAGGAATTAATGGGAGTAGGTTGGAGAAAGAGGCATTGGAGCCAGGGCGTTGTGGAATTAAAAACTGGACCCTGTGTATGAAACGGGTTTTGAATGTCAGGAGGCTAAGGACAGGACCCCGCCCAGCCACGGTCTTCTTCCCTTCAAGGCTCACAGGTAATTCCAAGCCATTCCTGCTCTGACCACTAGAGTGCGCGCCGGCCCCATCACTGGGAATCCAGGAACCACTCCCCCCACCCCACCCCCACCCCGCCCCAGGTCCCTGGAGGGTCGGTCCTTTGCTTCAGGCCTCTGTTGCCCAGTCCCTTAGTGGGCTCTAGTGCCTGCCCTAAGGTCATCTGTCCCTCACTCACACCTCCTCAACCTAGCTTCACTGGCCCCCTGGGGTGGGCCAAGCTGGATCCCACCTCAGAGCCTTTGCCTGACCATGCTCTCTGTTGGGAGTGCCCCTCCCACTATCTCTTCTCTTTCCCTGCTTCTCAGGTTGCCCGACCCCTTCCTAGGGGAGCCCTATCCCCCACTTCACCCCATTGCTTAGCACCCTGATTTCTTTCCCCACAGCCATCCTATAATCCAGGAGTTATCAATGATGTCTCCCAATAAGTGAGGCCAACACCCAGCATACAGTAGGTGTTCGATAGTCTCGAATAACAACATTTAGTGAGTGCCTGCTGTGTGTCTGGCCCAGGCAGGGCTCTGGGAATGCGGTGGGAACGAGAACACACAGTTACGTATGTTTCAAAATGACAAGCTCAGGAGGTGCCAGGCCTGAAGTTTAATCCTCACACAAGCACCATGCGATGCGGTGGGACAATTATGACCCCGTTTTATGACAAGAAGACTGAGGCTCATATTTGGTCATGCACGTAGCCCAGCGGCCCTGAGTTTCTGAGGCCTCCAGCATCCATTTGTGACCTGTGGCCACCTTGTTGCTGCCACTTATGGGACAGACTTGAGAGGCTCTTCGACTGCCAGGCACCGCAAGACACAGGTTTCAATAGTTTCCCAGGGAAATTTCCTTGGAAAGGCTTTGAAAGTGGAGGTTGAGTGGGGCCTGGCCCCTACAGACCCTCAGAACAAAGGCCATATCTCCCCCTTAAGATTACCCAGGGCAGGGCCATACCTCTCCCCTCAGACCCAGGGTAGGGCTGTGCCTCCCCCATCAGATCCAGGGCAGTCCATGCCTCCTTCCTCAGACCCTGGGCAGGTCAATGATTCCTTCCTCAGACCCAGGGCAGGCCCATGCCTCCCTACTCAGACCTAGAGTACAGCGGTGCCTCCCCGGTCAGACCGAGGGCAGGGCCATGCCTCCTCCCTCAGACTCAGGCCAAAGCTGTGTCTTCTCCCTCAGACCCAGGGCAGAAGCAGAGCTATGTGCCTCCTCATATTGCCAGGCCAAGGCCATACCCACAACATGGTTGTGCCTTCCCCTTCAGACACTGTGGGACAAGGACAGAGAGCCCTCTGAGCCACAGTCTTCCATCTGTAAAATGGGCCTCTCACCCGCACCCAGAGGACTCCCAGGGAGGCTGCTCTGTAAATGGCAACTGTGATTATAGATCCCCAGCTCTCCCCACCTTTGCCCCTTTGCAGAGGACTTCCCCTCTGCCTGGAGCATGCTGGGGCCAGGAGGGAGGTTGCCAGCTACGACCAAGGGGCCAGTCCACATTGTCCAGTCCAGAGAGAGAAGGGCCCTGCCCCTCAGCTCCACACACAGGTCCCAGAATCTTGCCTACCTGGTGTGACTCCAGTCCCAATGCTGTGGGACTTCGTGACCCCCAGAAAGTGACTTCCTTTTCTCCAGCCTCTGTAAAGGAGGTGCCTGCATCACAGTATAGTGGTGCGTGGCAAAGAAGACTCATCACGCAACTGCCCTAGCCAAACACTCATCGGTTGATAAGAATCCATGCACACATGTCATGCCCTCACTGTGCCCGAGGCACTGTCCCTGCTGTCTTGGCTGGAATCTGCAGTACTGGAATCTATGCCCATTTCACAGATGAAAAAACAGAGGCACACAGAGGGCACTCGTGGTCTGGCCAATGTGGCACAGCCACTGGGCTTCCACAGACACCTCCTTCTCCCTCCAGGCCTCAGGGTCACCTTTGGAGACCCCACAACCTTCCTGCTCCCAGGGTCTCTGTACTGCCACCTGCCTTCACAACCTGTGTTCACACCCTGGTTTGTTTCTAGCCTGGCAGAGACTGGATCGCTGTGGCAACACACTAAACCCATTGGGCAGTGCCCGCTTGTATTAGTGGCCTATGGCTGCTGTAACAAATCACCACCAGCTTGCTGGTGTAAAACAACTAAATCTTTCTCTTCTAGTTCTGGAGATCAGGAGTCCAACATGGGTCTCACCAAGTGAAAATCAAGGTATCGGCAGAGCAGCATTCCTTTCCAGAGGCTCAAGGGGAGAATCTGTTCCTGGCCTTTTCCAGTTTCCAGAGGTCACCCACATTCCTTGGCTTGCGGTCCCTTCCTCCATCATCACAGCCAGTGATGGTGGGTAACGTCCTTCTCATGTAGCATCTCTCTAACCATAGAGAGAGACGTCTCTGCTTTTAAGGATTCTGGGATGACACTGGGCCCACCAGGTAATCCAGGATCATCTTCCCATCGGAAATTCCTTAACTCAATCCGAGATGCAAAGATTCCATCGATGGTGACATATTCACAGAGCCCAGGGATTAAGACCAGTCATCTCAGGGGACCGACCACCTTTGAGCTGGGCTTTCTTTTACTTGTAGAACAAACATCCCATTACTGTACTTCTGTTCATACACCGACCCCCTGCTCCCTCTCCCCACCATTCAGTCCAACTTCCAAGTCTCAATTTAAATGTCTTGCTCCCCTGAGAAGTCTTCCTCAGTTCCCCTCAGGCTGGGTCAGGTATAGCCTTGGGGCATTCTCCATCACAGCTGTGATCACACTGCATTGTCACTGCCTGTTTACCTGTGGGGTCTGGGGCAGAGAGAAGCCTGGGGTGGTGAGCAGGGGCCACGGGGGAATCATGGTGGGTGTTTGAGTTGGGGAGAAGCCTATGGCAGCTGAGGAAGGTAATGGGATGCAGGGTATGAGGCCGAGGCTGGGTCAAGGTGAAGAGGAGGGCATGAATGGAAGAGACTGCAAAGGGGAGGAGGGGGCTCCCCAGTAAGTGCCAGTGACTTACCTGAGGTCACTCAGCACACAGGCTCTGCATTGGGAAGACACACCAGGCTAGGGAGCAGGAAGCTGCTGGCAGCTGGCCTCTGTTTACAACCTACATCAGGCCGACAATAACCTTTTGATTTGCACAGCCCAGGCTGGGTGTCCAAGCCACAGCAGGGTCAGATCTCGGCCAAGGTTGCACTGTCCAGCCCCCGCACACCCTTGGTGAGAACACAGAGTCCCATCATTGCCCCATTCCCTAACCAGGGGAGAATCCCCTCAGACTGTCAGAGGCCAAGGTCACGTTGAAACAGCTGGGCATCTTCCCTCAGTGCCACTGGCCAGTGACATGGCCGTTGGTCACTGGCTGAGGGACATAGGTCAGGCTGGGCAGCTCAGGTGGAGAAAAGGGTCTGGGCATGGCATTTGCTGGTATAAGTTCCTGTATGTGCAGAGCCGGGGCTGTGCTGTGTGGCTACAGGGACCTTCAATTTCCACACCTGGGGAGGAGGCAGAAGCAGGAAAGGGTGGTGATGAAGCAGAGGCGAATATCCAGTTGCTCTCCATCTTTTTAATTTTCCTGAAAACATTTACCACTCTTTGAAGTTATATATTAATTTGTTTGTCTATATGATTTGTTGTCAATGGCCCCTGCAAACCATGAGTTCAGTGATGACGGGATGGGATCTGCCTAGGTCACCCTCGTACCCCCGCACCCTGCAACAGTTCCTGCCACTAGAAGATGGTCATTAATTTTTTTTTTTAAGATTTTATTGGGGAATTGGGGGAGATAACAGCGTTGGGGAATCAGGGAAGGGGAACAGACAAGTTGCTGTCCTTTTGGTCTTCAGTCTAGTTGTGGAGGATGTTGCTTCACTGGCCTATATTGGTATTGTGATCATTGCATTCTTTCCGGCTGAGGCAGATCAGCTGCCGACCATTGGATGGCCACTCACAGCAGCTCATGCCGGCTGCCGGCCGCTCACGCTGGCTGCCAGCCACTCATGGTAGCTTACAGCAGCCCACTGCAGCCTGCGCTGTCGCCAGCGACTCATGGCAGCCCAGCTCCAGGTCGAGCTATTGTTCACCATCTTAGCTGGAGAGGGCACAGCGTCACTGGCCCATGTGGGATCTGAACCAGCGGCCCTGCTGCTCAGAGCTCACACTCCCAAGCCAACTCTTAACCAACGAGCCACTTGGCAGGCTCCATTAATTATTTTAGGAGCATAAATACAGAGGGGGCTGCACATAACCCATGAGCACTTAGAGGGTGCCTTGATAATTTGGGAGGCCCCCACAGCAGAAGGGATTAGTTCCAAAATAGGAAGTGTCCAGCTGCACTGAGGACACTGTGCACTTACTTCCAAGGCTCACGCTGATGTCACTGTCATAAACCGTGGACACCCAGGATCCCAGGGAGCTGGACCTGAGGAGACAGGAGGAAATCTCCCTAAAACAGTAAGTTCTTGCGGGTGCAGTCTGGGGGGCACTATCTGCAAAGGTGAGGGGAGGGAGTGCACAGTCTCCCAGGGTGTGAGGGGCAAAGGCCAGGCACATGGTAGGCACTTCGGAAGTTTTGTGGTATGATTACCACAGTCTTGCTGTTGCCGGGACTATTTGTGTCCCTGGGTCTCTCCCTGCAGCACCCAACCTCCCTTCCCATTTGATCACACCCAGCTGTGCCCACTGGCTCCGGCAGCCAGGTAACCTGGTGGGTGGTCTGAGGCATTAGCAGACCACACTTGGACCACGAAAGGGACCACATGCAATCCACAACATGGAACGCAGACCCATAGACATGTTGCCGTGGGTCACCAGTTAGCTCAGCAGCATCCCTACAGCTGAAGACCCCCAAACGCACGGTGACACCTCAAACTCAAACCCACGGTCAGAATTCGGCCCCAAAGCCACACCTTCCCAGATAAATTCTCTGGCTCCCAGGTCGGACCTGCCCGCCACCAGCTGCCACCTGGGTGGCCAGGCCCAGCCCCTGCACACATCGCGCACGATTCTGCCTCGCGCCCCACCATTCACGCGCCCCGCCCCAGCCCGGCCCCGCCCCGCCCGCGGTCGGTGGGACCTTTATAGGGAGCGCCCGGCTGCCGCGCGCTTGGAAGTCGGTGTCGCCGCCCTCCCTGCCGCCGCCCGCGCGTCCGACGCCGGGGCCACCGCCACTGTCTCTGAGTTCGCCATGCGTCCCGGGGCGCTCGGGCCACTGTGGCCACTGCCCTGGGGGGCCCTGGCTTGGGTCGTGGGCTTCGTGGGCTCCATGGGCTCAGGGAACCCCGCGCCCGGTGAGTGGGGCAGCCGGAAGGAGCGGGCGGGGTGGGCCACCCACGTGGCCCTGCGGGGGAATTCTGGCGGTGGGGATGTTGGGGGTCGCTGCGGCGGTGGCAGTCGGCGGCATCTGGGGGCAGAGTGCAGTGACCAGCGGCCAATGCAGGTTGAATCTGGGAGGGCTTGGGGCTCCCTCTCCCCCAGTCCCAAAAGACCTGAAGGAGGGTCGCCAGGAGGTCAGCAGAACAGACAGATGTGACTCTCACAATTGTGATCAAGAATAGTCACAATGACTGCTGACATTTATTGAGTGCTTAGTGTTTACCTCTTCCCTCCCTGAATTGATACAACAGCCTAATTGTGTGGGAACGCTTATCATGCCTGTTTTCCAGATGGGGAAAATGAGGCACAGGGTCACACAGCTTATAAATGGCAGAGCCAAGATTCCGAACCCAGACGATCTGGGTTTTGACGCCCCAGAGAGGCAGGGCTGGGTGGCTGGATCCAGAACCTCCAGCTGGGTCCTCATATCTTCCCTGGGTCTGGCTTAGGCAGACGGTCATTAGAATGCCAAACCTGCCACTTGTCAGGATACGCCAGCCAGGCAAGTAACATCCCCACTCCGGGCCTCAGTTTCCCCTTTTATGAGTGCCAAAGTGCTGAGTTCCCAGAGCTGGTCCCTGGGAGGCACTCAGTACAGAGCCTGGGAACCAGTGAGCTCTCTTGCATTGGGGGTTGTGACCATTCCTGCCCCTACTTAAGGGTGAGGAAACAGGTCATCTCTCACCCTACCCGGCAGCCCCACCCCAGCACTGCAAGGAGGGAGGGGAGAGCTGAGCCCCCTCCCCGAAGGCCATGTCCCCAGGGAGACAGTGAGCTCATGCAAGGGGAATGTTCCCAAGATGGAATGAGTAAGAGGCAGGCCAGGCAGGGGGGGGGGGGCTGCCAAGTGAGGTGGGCTCCAAGTGCCCTTGGGCACTGTCTAGACAGAAGACAGAGCTGGGACAGGTAGCTCCAGGGCCCACTGATCCTGACATGTCCAGCTCTGGGTGTCTGACTGATGGGGCAGGATGCCAGGCCTGAGTGGGGGTGAGGGGGCTTCCCAAGATGAGTGAGGGTTGGCAGTGTAGCAATGTGGGGGTTGGAGCTCAGAGAGAAGGATCCCACAAGGATCCAGAGCCCCTCTTCTCCGCTTGTGGGCAGCTTACCCCTCCGTAATTACTGAGCACTGGCTATATGCATCCCTGGGGGCAAGAGCTGGGTGGAAGGTCAAGGCCTGGGTGTCAGGAGTGGCACGAGGGTACCTCTGGCCCCATAGAAATGGCCCCCCTTATCCACAGGTGGTGTCTGCTGGCTCCAGCAGGGCCGAGAGGCCACTTGCAGCCTCGTGCTGAAGACCGATGTGAGCCAGGCTGAGTGCTGTGCTTCCGGCAGCATCGACACTGCCTGGTCCAACTTCACCCACCCCGGGAACAAGATCAGTCTCCTGGGCTTCTTGGGCCTCGTCCACTGCCTCCCCTGCAAAGGTGAGACCCTGGGCATCAGCCACAGGCCAGGGTCACTGTAGTTGAATGTGGAATGGCTGGGAGTGAGCTCCCCATCTCGGGAGTGTGCAGAAGATCAAGGCTGCTGGGAGGAGCAGTTGTGAAGGGGTCCCAGGCCTCAGCCTCCCTGAGCTGAGCATTTAGAAAGAAGCTCTGAACACTCCCCAGCTTGGTTTCCAGCCTCTAGGCCTTGCTTACGCCAAGGCCTCTGCCAGGATGGCCTTCCCGCCTGCACCCCATCTGGTTGAATTACACTCCTGGGAAGGCGATTTTCCCGACTGACCATTCTGGCTTGTGACCCCACACTCAGCATTCTCAACTGTCCTTATCTGCCCTTAACCCCCCCCCCCGATTCCAGGGGTCTGTGGTGGGCCAAAGTTGCATGTTTAATGGACCACATTCTGAGAAATGCTGCCTTCTCCATCAGACTAGGAGCTCTTTAAGGATTGAATAAGTCAAGATCTATTCTCTGCCCTGGAGAAGGGGTTAGGGCCACTCCCAGGTGCCTGTGGTCAGGGCTGAACCTATAGGGACTCAGAAGGGGGGCACGGGGACATGATTTGAAGGAAGTGGGCATTTGAGCCAGGGTGTTGGGAGATGATTAGCAGTTTGCAAGCTGGACAAGGTATGGGGGTGAGCATTAGCAGAGACTATGGCTTGGGATGAGACCCTAGGATGGGGTCAGGGCAGGGGAACAGGGAGGAGGCTGGAGCTGAGGGCTGCAGACCTGAAGGCCAAGTTGAGGAGCTTGGCTGGCCGCTGGGATGTGATTAATCCCAGACCAGCCTGGCTGGGTGGTCCTGAACTCACTGTCATGTGCCCTGGCTCATTCCAGAAACCCCTCTGGCTTCTGGGAGGACAGACTTCAAAGTGCCTGGCCTGGGCATGAGATGGTCTAGGAACGCCTCCCCAAATCTGGCCTTGGGAAGGGACACTTAGTCCCCCACTTCTGTTCCCTCTTGCATGAAGCCACATGGAAGGAGCGTTTCCAGATGTGTGTGTGGGTGGAGGCACCCAGGTGCAGCCCACATGTCCGGCAGGGCAACAGACATGGGGGCGCCGGCCATTCTCTTAGGAGCATCAGCTCATTTTATGCTCACCCTGTAAGGTGGGTCCCACCATCAGCCCCACTTTACACACAGGGAAACTGAGGCTGGAATGCTCAGTCTGCCCTCCAGACCTACAAGCAACAGAACTTGGGGGAGAGAGGGGTCCATCCGGGATCTGGACTTTAGTTATGCTGAGGTGCTCTCCTCCACTCACAGCTGTGACAGTGCCTCAGTTTCCCATTTTGTAAAATAATGAAAAAACGGCATGACCTCATAGGGTCGCTGTGAGGCTGCAATGAGCCTGGGAGGGACTGAGAGGCAGGAGAGCAGCCATTAGTGGGATCTGATTTGCATTTCTGAAGGTCCCAAGCCTGAGTGGAGGGGGAGACCGGAGAGAGATTCCCCCTAGTCAGACCCGTTTCCCTACCTGAGATATGGAGCTGCGGGGCGTGGGTAACCCCTAATTCAGACTGCTCGGGCTGTGGGAGGCCCCCTCCCCAGGAAATGAGCTTCATGCCTGGCGCCGACGCCCCGCCCTCCCTGTCGCCTCCTCCGGGGAGGTCCTGGCAGGCACAGGGAACAGACGCTGCCGGTCCTCCCCAGACCCGCGCCTGGACGGGGTGGAGCCCCCTACCCCACCCCTGAGCTGACGCAGCCGGGGCCCCCCGCCCGCCTTCCCAGAAACGCAAGTAAATCAGGGAACAGATGTTAGCCGGAGCCTGTGACCCAACTGCGCAGCGGGACTGGGGGGGTGGGGGGGTGGGGGAGGGAGGCTGGAAGCCGGTTTCTGGGCCCACATGTTCCGGGCAGAGACGCCGTTTCCGCCCACGCTGAGCCCAGCCCCCAGCCTCAGGAGCAGCGGTCCACGCGGGCCGTAGCTAAATCTCGTCCACAGTGGACCCGGCACCCAGACCCCTAATCAGACCGCCCCCCACTCCAGCCTGGCCTCTGTCCTTCAGAACAGGGGGCGGGGGCGCCGTGGGCTCAGAGGACCGCTGGCCACGCGCCTCAGCCCACGCGCGCGCGTCGTGCGTCCGCAGATTCGTGTGAGGGCGTGGAGTGCGGCCCCGAAAAAGCGTGCCGCATGCTGGGGGGCCGCCCGCGCTGCGAGTGCGCGCCCGAATGCGCGGAACTCCCCGCGCGCCTGCAGGTCTGCGGCTCGGACGGCGCCACCTACCGTGATGAGTGCGAGTTGCGCGCCGCGCGCTGCCGCGGCCACCTGGATCTGCGCGTCATGTACCCGGGCCGCTGTCGCAGTACGTGGTGGGGGAGCCTGCGAGAGGGGCGGGGCCTCCAGTCCTGCGCGCTTGGTAGTGTTCTGTAGGGGGGCTCGCGGGTTGGGGCGGGCCTTATGATAGGCGGAGCCTAGATGGCTTGGTAGTGGGCGGAGTCGAATAAAGGGAGCCTATACTCCCAAGAGTGTCACTAGAGTAGGTCTTTTGTGGGGTCGAGAATAAGGAAGAGTCTGGTGGAGGTTTGAAAAGTTGGATTCTGGAGCTCACGTGGGGTAAGAGTTATGGGTGCGTTACTCCGAGGGTCTTCTGGGTGCAATCAGAGGGGGCGGGGCTTGAGGGTGGACTTGGGCTGTGGACTGCGGTCTCCTAGAAGGGATTTGGCTTCTGGCACACGCAGAGGGGACAGGGCTTGATGGTGGAATCAAGGCTGGGGTAACTAGTGGAAAGGGTGTGGCTTCTGGAAAAAACAGAGAGGCGGGGCCTAGGGGTGGACTCAGGGTTGTGGGCGGGGCTCGTGGTCGCCGTGGCGCCTCTGACCAACCCTGGCGCCCCGCCCGCAGAGTCGTGCGCGCACGTGGTGTGCCCGCGGCCGCAGTCGTGCGTAGTGGACCAGACTGGCAGCGCCCACTGCGTGGTGTGTCGTTCAGCACCCTGCCCCGCGCCCTCCAGCCCTGGCCAGGAGCTCTGCGGCAACAACAACATCACCTACGTGTCCTCGTGCCACCTCCGCCAAGCTACCTGCTTTCTGGGCCGCTCCATTGGCGTGCGCCACCCGGGCAGCTGCACAGGTGCGGGGCAGGGTGGGGAGCAGCGTCGGGGTCTAACCCCCAGCCCCTCTCTGCGCCCCCATTTCTCTGTTTGTTTCTCCTGCTCTGCAGGCATCCCCGAGAGGTCAGATGCAGAGTCAGAGTCAGAGGAGGAGAACTTCGTGTGACCTGCAGGGCGGCCTGAGCCTGGCATTCAAGGCCTCCCATTTTATTTATTGCCATAGCAGAGCCTAATTTATGTCTCATGGACACTCCCCAGAGCCTGGACCGGACCACTGGGGAAGCCATGGACACACACACACACACACACACACACACACACACATACACACGATATCTTGGAAGGATTAGGAGATGGTGGCCTGGGAGTGGTGCTGGTGGGTGGGGCCCTGTCCGCAGGCACCCTACAGCCCAGGAGAACATCACGTTTCTGCTCTCTTCAGAATAGCTATTAACTATAGACACCACTGAGAGGGCTGGAGATTCTCTGCCAGCAATTAATGAAAAGGCATCCCAGCCTTCTAGAACAGGGACTAGGAGTGAGGAGGGGGTCCACAGCCTGGGTGTATATAGATGAATATGCCCAGACCCAGCACAGGCCAAGAAAGCAGCCTCTGTTGCCTACCAGCCCAAGAATCCAGGGCTTTCCTTCCCTACTGCTTCCATTTAGCCAGTAGGTCCTGTGAAGGCCCCTGAGAAAAGCCTAGTTTGTCCCCTGGGCGGGGGGGCACTATCTGTGCCTCCTGACACAGGCCTCCTAGCATAGAGCCACCAGCATCAGCTAGAACAGGGCACTATGTCCAGTGGTGCCCAATCTACTGAGGGTGGGACCCAGGAGCCCCTGCTCACCCACTGACCCAGGTGGGGTGTAGATGCCAAGGCCTTCTGGAGTCATGTGTCTGAGCAGCACCTCTAGTACCCGCTGCCCTGTCCACAAGTGAGGTCCAGACCCAGGCCCCCTCAGTGCCACCAAACCTGCCCTTGCTGGGCCTCTAGGCCCAGTTCCCAGCTGGACCCTCCTCACCCACTAGCCAGGCTCAGGGGTTTCAACCCCCACCCAATGCTGGCCTAGGGCCAATTCCCTCCATTCTTCCTGGGCAATTGCTCAATGCCAACCCCCCCTCCCCCCTCCCCCACCTTCATGTAGACCAGTAGCTCTGACCAGATGTGGAGACCCTACAGGGCAGGGACCCTGCTCCTCAGATTTGGGGCAAGGAGCACAGGGGGACAGTGTACTCACCCTCTCCTAGCCCCCAGGAAGTGCCTTATGTGTGACACCCAGAAAAGTGCCCTTGAGTAGTGGGTTTGCCCAAGCCCCCTGGACAAGGCAACCTCCCCTGCCCTGGGGTCCTGCCTCACCAAAGAAATAAAGACTGTAAAAAGCCACCTTGGGGTTCAGGCCTGGTCTGCCCCTCTCTCTCTGAGCCTCTGTACTGCCCACTTTGGTAGGGGATTACTAACCTGGAGCCTGGGTTGCTGTTAGGGTGGTGAGTAGTGGGCTACGGAAACTTCTGGGGGATAGACTCGGGCGTATGTCCTTGGGGCAGCCACCAGATGTCCTTGAGCTTCAGTGTCCACCTCCGGGCAGTGAACAGCAGCCAGGGAGAGGGCTGAGGCAGGTGGGGTTGGGTGGGTGGCAGAGAAAGGAGGCCGAGGGAGTTGCTTGGAGAAAGTGGCCTAGCCATACCCTCAGCCACCTTGAGGCCAAGGAGAAGCTTCAGGAATGTGGGTGGACCATTGCTTCTGGTTAGTTAACATTTTATTCAGTTATTTTGGCCCTCTTTGTTTGGAATTAATGCTCAGCCCCCCACCCCGGGCTTACTGGGTCTGGGGGGCCCTGTGGACTCCCTGCCCCAGCCATGGAATTTTCCAGGCTGGAGCTGTCTGCATGGGCTACCATCTCATTTGTGTACCCAGTGCTGTACCCAGGCAGCTCTTTTGGAGGCCCCAGTAGTGCAGGGGAAGGGGCTGGGCTGGAGGCCATGCGGGTGTTGCTGAATCACGTCCCATATCCAGGTGATGAAGGAGGACACCTGCGTGTACACATCAGGGGTCTTGGGATCACCGCACCAGAGGCCAGAAAAGGAGACAAGGCCATGGGCCTGGTTCCTGCACACCAGGGGCCCCCCGGAGTCTGCCTAGGGGTGGACAGGAAGGCCAGGTCTCTCTCTCAGCCTCACTTCCTGGGAAGGAGCTTCTACATGGAAATCCCACCAGGACCCTTCCCTGCCCCAAAACCCTTCCATGGCCCCCTTGTGCTCTTACAGCAAAGACTAAACATACAAGTCTGCGGCCCTTTGTGCACGGCAGCCCTCTGATGGTTTCCCTGCCTATGCCTTCCCTCAGGGCTAAGGGCTCCTTCAAGTCTCAGCTCTAAGGTGCTGCCCTCAGAGAGGCCTTTCTGAATGCCTACCCTGAAATTCCTGCTCCCTCCCCTCTCCTTGCCTTCCCTCTGGGTCCTACCACCCTGTGGAATTAACTTTGACTATGAAGTGGCAGTTTTATAGATGGAGAAAATGAGGTCCAGAGAAGTGACTTTCCCAAAGCCGCATGTCTGGGAAGGGACACAGTCTGGATTTGAACCCAGGCAGTTGGGCTCCAGAATCTGTGTTCTGAACCCTTCCCCTCTCTAGCCTGGAACAAAAGACTCTGCCGGTGAGTGTTGCTAGTAGTCTGCACTGGCTGCTGGGAGCAGGGGCTCCTTTTTTGAGATCTGCTACTGCCACCTACAGGACACTGTTAATAAATACACAACTCTAGCTCTGTGCAGTGCACAACCTGCACAGACATACAGCGTAGCCCTGTGACCCTGGGCAATAACCTGTCCTTCCAGGGCCTCAGGTGCAGCAGTCGTGCCTCTGGTAAAGGTGAGCTGGAACTTAGTTCCCAAGGCTCTGTCCAGCACTGACCCTCTCTGTGAGCCTTGGTTTCCCCATTCTGTAAGCGGGCAGGGCAAAGAATAGCATACCGAACAGAAGCCTCGCCACCGGCGGTCCCCACTGTGGGTGCAGAGCATGGCAGGGCTCAGCTGGCCCCTCCAGGAGCTGTTGCAGATGTCCAGGCCCAGCACACGGACCTCGGCCTCCATCAGCCCGGGTGGCAGCTCCTCAAAATTGGACACAGAGCCCCAGCCGGCCACTTGGCACCGCGTCCCAGCCTTGAGTGGCCTGGAGCTCCTCTGTGGCAGCCCCAGCAACCCCACTGCAGGACCCAGGATGGCAGAGCTGTTCAGCTGCAGGGAGAGACCACCCCCAAATGTCACCTCTGCTCCTGCCTCAGTTTATCCATATGTGACACCTAGTCTGTTCCCTTATGGAGAGAAACCAACAGCAGCATCATTCTGTTGTCAGAAGGCCTGCTGTTTTTGCCAGCACGTGGCCCCCGCCCATCAGGCTTCACCCCCTCATACCAGGACTGTGGCCTTCTTTCACTCCCCCAGCTGCCCAAACAGTCTTTCTAACCAGCATCTTCTTCCCTGCTTTAGGCCCTCCTATAGCTCCCCATTGCCCTTAGGGTAAAACCTGTCAGCTGACCATTCAGCCCTTCCCTCCAGTCAGAATGAATTTGTTACCATGGTCTGGACCCACCTCCATGCTTTTGCTCACAGTGTACCCCCAGCCTGGAGCATCTTTCCCATCCATTCTTCAGGTCTCAGCTTAGACATCACCTCCTCCAGGCTAGGATAGATGTGTCCTCTGGGCTCCCATGTGCCCCTGTCAAGGCCAGTTTACCCAGCTGCCACGCTGTTAGACTGGAGTCTCTAAGGGGGCCAGCCTTGGGATTTGTTCATGGCTGTGTCCCCGGTGACTGGCACACAGCTGGCATTCAGTGAACAGTTCTGGAATGAATGACTCAGACCTCTGGTTTTGGTACACCCTGACCTTGGGCACATCCCTGACTGTCCCCCAGCCTTGGTTTCCCCATGGGCACAATGAGATGGGTGAATCAGAGCAGCGGGTTCCAGACTTTGGCTGCTGACACTCACTGCCTCCTTTCTTTTGCTGGGAGAACCCAACACCCTAGACCCTCCTGTTCCCAGGGGCTTGTTTTTTTTCTTTTTTACCATATTTTCATTTTTTACCACATTTGGAGGGTAAGTTTGGTATGTACTCCCTTTAAAATGGAGGCCCTGGGGGTGCCTGAAATTGTAGGGAGGGGTCCAAAAGAATGCACTACGTGTGTGAGGGGACTCACATCTATAGGAGAAGCCACTTCCTGCCAAAAAATCCCACGAAAGGCCGGGGGACAGGGACTGGAGTCTTTCACGGCAGCAATGCCTCACTTGTTCCCTCTTTCAGCCTGAACACAGAGGCCTGCTGTGTGTCATTAATGGCCATAAATGAGGGGAAATTCCTGTCCTCAAGGTCTGGAGGAGGCAGTGAAGGATGGTGAAGTAGCACATGTACAGGTGTTGCTAGCAGGTGGACACAAGAAAGGTTTAACAAGGAGAAAGGATGAGGAGGGGACAGGAGCAGGTTGCAGGATGGGGGGACACAAAGGGACACTTCCTGAGAAGGGAACATTGGAGCAAAGGCGTGACCTGACTCAGGTGTTTCAAGAGCCTCTGACTATTTTTAGAACATGTTCAATTATCATGGGGGTGGCGGGGACAGGCCAGACCTACGTGCAGTTCCCCTCTCCATGAAGCTCACCTGCAGCAGACAGATGTCATTGGCATGGGTCATGGGCTGATAGTCGGGGTGCCTGATGACAGCTGAGATGCCGAACACCTGCCGGGTGGGCTCTGAGGTGCGCAGGGCATGGGCTCCCAGCACCACCAAGCCAGTTTGGGGGTCTCTGCAAGGGAAGGGGGATTGTGAACAAGACTGGGGTGAGCGCCACCTGTCGTGGGCATCGGTCTCCCATCTGCAAAATGGAGGTGGAGCAATCCATTTAATCCTCATGCCAGCCCCGCAATAATAATTGTTATGTCTGTCACCACTCTGACCTCGATTATAGCATTAACTGTAATCATTGCAATATTAATTTTAATAACTGTTATAAACTATGCTTAGAATGAATTGAATGCCTATTACATTTATTGTAATTCCCACCTCAATTATAATATTACCTCTGAAGGAGGCCACACTGGATCCCTAACAAGTAAGTGCCTCTTTGGCGTGTGAATTCTGAGCCATCAAGACCCTGCAGGCTCACAAGAAACTTCTGCCCCTCCTTTAACTACCCACTGGAATCTAAATTGGGGACCTTGCCCATAATGAGTGTTGTCAGCAGAGATAACTTTTTATGACCTATTAGAGGGCAGGGCAAGCTTCTACTTTCTGAGCACCCGCTCTTCTTATCGGCCTGAGAATGACCCTCCTCTCCTATGATGCCCCAGACCAGGGGTCGGCAAACTTTTGAGACAGAAGAGCTGCCAGGGGTCAGCAAACTGCAACTCTCGAACTGTGGCCCTGAAGTAAAATTGAAAACGAAAATAAAACTATCATAGTTCCATTTATAAAAATTTTAAAGGATATTATTCACATAATGGTGATTATGTAAAAATATATTTATGGCTCTCGAATAATTTTTAAATTTTTGTGAGAGACAGGATTGGCTCTTTTAGGGTTTGGCAAACTTTTGAGGCGGAACGTGCCCAAAGAGCCGCATGTGGCTCGCGAGCTGCAGTTTGCCGACCCCTGCCCCAGACGCCTGGCCTAGTCCCTAGCTTAGGATGCCATATACACCCATGTTCCCTGTCCATCTTGGAACCTCTCATGTGTGCGGTTTAATATGTATGCATGTATTAAATTGGATTACTTTCTCTTGTTACTCTGTCTCATGTAGATTTAATTATTAAACGAGCCAGAAGAACCTAAAAGAGTATAGGATAATTTCTTCTTCCAACAATTTCAATATTAATGTTAGCAATTATTATAACAATATACTTAGACCGAGCACAGCGATAACACCTATTTATTGTCATGAATGTCGCTCCTTCAGCATGTCTCTTGTGACTGCCCACCCTTTACTCTTTGCTATCTGAGAGGCAGTGGGTTCTATCTTCCTGCCTATGCCCCCACCTGGAATGTGGCAATGCCCACATCAGGAACACCTGCAGTGCAGTTACAGCATCCTAGGGTCCTGAGTGGCAGCGGGCAAGGGGAGGGCTCCCCAAGGGCTCACCTGTTGCTGAAGCAGTGGGCAGCTGAGACCACCCAGTGGGCGCGGAGCAGGAAGCCCCCACAGTGGTGCTGGCCCTCAAAGCTCACTGACACCATGTAGGGACGGGAGTGGGGGGTCACCTCACGGCCCCCAATGATCCGGGCCCCCCAGAAACCTGCAGGTGGAGTCGAAGGCTGTGTCAAGGGAGGGGCAGGAAGAAGGGCTAATGGTGGCAGCTCAGGCACAATATGGCATAGGGGTCAAGCTGGGAGAGAAAGAAGCAGAAATGGACAGACAGATGGAAAGATGCAGAGAGACACAGAGTGAGTGAGCGACGAGAAGCACAGAGAAGGCCCTCAAGCTTGCTGGGATGGGGCCTGCACCCCAGAAAACCTGGGTCTGGGCCCGGTTGAAACCCCAGCTGAGCCTCCTGCCTCATTCCCTACTGAGGCCCCAGAGGGCAGTCAGGTAGGGGGCTGTGTAGCATCAACTGGTTGGGGCATGTGTGGGGCACCTGGACGTTTCAACAGTGTGTCTGGGTGGGGGCCTTGGGGTACCTAGGGAGTTCCTGAGTGGGGTCCCTGATGGGGGGCACCTGGGGGTTCATACCTGGGGTCCTTATGGACAGCATCAGGGTAGTGGCCACAGTCAGTAGCAAGTGGTCCCGGCCCCCATGCCCCATGGCTGACACAGGCTGGTTGATCCCTCAAGAGCTATGAGGGCCGCGGCTCCCACCCTTACCCAATGGCCCAGAAAGGGGGAACCCAGCTGTGGCCTGTGGTCGGAGGCCCCACCAGGCCCCACAGGCAACACCCAGATCTGAACCGGTGATTCTGGAAAGCCAATGACTTGATTGCCTCAGGGTTGTTTATCACAATTGCACAGGAGGAAACAGGGCAAAGAGGGGAGAGCAGGGGCCCCGGGGGCTGCCTGCCCAGGCAAACCGGGGCTCTGCCAGTCCCTGTGGCCCTGGAGGTCACTCGCTCTCACTGTGCCTCAGTTTTCCTGGCACCTGTCCCCAGGCTTTGGTAAGTTCCCCCAGCCACATGCCCCTGGGGCATTGGTGTAAGTATCACCCAAAGCTGCAGGTGTGTGGAACCTTATTTAGTTCTAGAGCAACCCGAGGATGTCAGTATTGTTCCTATGTCCATGTTACTGATGGAGAACCTGAGGCACAGAGAGGTTAAGTGCTCTGTCCAAGGTCGCACAGCGAGGGAGCGGTGGGGCCAGGATTGCAGCCTCATGATAGCTCTTGTAGCCCCTGACAGTTCTACCCACAGCCAGGCCTATTTCCTTCCTGTCTGAGGACCAGTTTTGAAACAGGCAACTGCACTTCATGGTCCCAAATAACCAAGCTCCCTGAAGCCCTGAGGAGTGGGCTGGGTGGAGGCTGGTGTTTCCATTTTCCAACCCAACGCACAGAGAGGGGAGCCTAGTTTGTCTGGGGCTGCACAGAAGCTGGTCTTGAACCCAGAACTCCTGAACTATATTCCTTGAAGGGTATTTCCATGGAGAATTTGGGTGGCTTTCCCAGTCAGAGCAGACACAAAGACAATGATGATGATAGCTTCCTTTACTAAACACTTACTTTTGTTGGAGCTCTTTATATATCGAGATGAACTCATGGTCATATTAATTTCTTTTCCTGAACAACTCTCATGTGCAAAAGACACAGCCCCCCTGGGAAGTGAGTTTGGGTCCTGCTGATCTGCATATGGACCAATGCTGAACTGGCCAGAGCTGGGTGGCCCCCTCAGGTATCTGTCCTCCTTACTTGTGATGGCTGGGGCTCCCAGGGCCATGGCACAGGCCAAGAAGACAGCAGGGGTCAAGGCTCTGGCATGCTTCTCTGGGCTGGGCCTGTGGTTTGGAGTTATGAAGCTGGGGAGGGGACTCCAGAGTCCAGCTTACCCCTTCCTGGCCCCTTTTGGGGTTGGGGACACAAGCATGAGCTGGAGTCAGGTCTAGAGGAAGTAAGGGGGAGGTCTCTGACTCAGGGACAAAGAAGAGGTGGACTTTGGGGGCCCATGCAGAGCCCAGTGTGAGTCCAAGGGCCGGCCCCAGAGGATGTCCAGTGGCAGCAACAGCTATGCGTTAGACTCAGGGCAGGGGCAGAGGATGCTGGGCAGAGCCCTGGGGACAAAGGCATCCAGGATGAACAGAGGGCGTTGTCATGGAAACCGTGGTTGCAAGTGGTCCAAGAAGAGAGGGGGGGCTGCAGGTGCAGTGACCACTTGCGCCTCCTAGATGAATGGGAGCTTCAGGTCCTGAGTGGAGAGGACATGGAGGTGGGTAGTGTGGATCCCTCTCTGGAGGGAGACAGGTCCACTCAAGCCCGTTGCTCTAGTCCAAGATACACCCCGCCTTGTTTCACCTCCACACCTTTGACCGGGCTGTCCCTGTCACCTGGGATCCCTCCCCTCATCATCTCTGCCTGGCCGGATTTCCCCAGCTTGTGGCGCCACCTCCTGGCTGGTGCCCTGGAAGTGGCTGCCTGCATGTCAGAGTCTAGGGTGTGGATGCCGGAGAGTCCCTGAGCAGGGTCTTGAGAGCCCAGACAAGGACTTTAGTCTTCCATCTGAGGGAGGTGGGAGCCATGGGAAGTTTAAGGCAGGGAAAGGCCCATAAATGGTTTGTTGGTATGGGAGAGATGTTCCTAGCAGCCCCTCTCCATCGATAAAATGCATGCAGCATCCCTCAAACTTGAATCATTTATTTAATAGACAAAAAAAAAATGTCCTTTCTCCGAGGACAAGGCTTCTGCATCCTTAGCACCTAAGACTGCCAAGTCTTAGTAAGACTGCCAAGTGCACAGTAAGTGCTCAATAAATGTTTTTGAACTGAATGGACCCAGAGGACGAGGGGCAGTGATGGAACTACTTACTCACAGCTCACTTTTTTTTTTTTTAAGATTTTTATTGGGGAATTGGGGGGATAGGAACAGTGCTGGGGAATTGGGGGAAGGGCAATAGACAAGTTGCTGTCATTTTGTTCTTCAGTCTAGTTGTGGAGGACGTTGCTTCACTGGCCCAAGTTGGCACCATCATTGCGCTC